CCTTCTAATGCATTCATAAAAAAGCAATCACTCCCTGGGCTTTCCACAGAAGTATTTCCATATGCCATCTTTTAATATAGTAAGCATTCCATAAATAGGTTGATTTTTGTTTGTCTGTTTATTTATTTATTTAGGCAGAACCGAGGATTGAACTCAGGCCCTCGCACTTGCCAGGGAAGTGCTTATTCCACTGAGCCATCTCCCCGGCCCTTATTTATTTATTTATTTAGTACTGAGACTTCAACCCAGGGTTTCTACACTGAGCTACAAGGCCAAGCCTTTCTTATTTTTTATCTTGAGACAAGGTCTTGGCTAGTCTCTAAGTGGCCAAGGCTGGGCTCAAACTCAAGATCCTCCTGACTCAGCCTCCGAGAACGCTAGGACTCTGGACATGTGCTATCACACCTGGTTTTACTTTCTTAGAAACTTCATTTCTTGCAGTGATGGCAATCCCATGCAGGGCCATATGTATGTTAGGCGAGTGCTGTGCCAGTGAGCTGCACCATCAGTCTCAATAAATGTTTTCTGGGGCTGGGGAGATGGCTCAGTGGAATAAGCGCTTCCCTGGCAAGCACAAGGGCCTGAGTTCAATTCCCGGTTCCGCAAAATAAATAAATAAATAAATGTTTTCAAAATTATAACAACTTCTGTTACAGCCATCCATGCAAGGGCACATCTTCCCCTGCCCTCACAAGCTCTAAGCTTGATAGCTCTGTGTACCTCATCTGGGCCTAGGGAGTGCTTCTGTGGGTTGTTTTGTTTTGTTTGCAGTACTAGGGATCAAACTCAGAACCTTACACTTGCCAGGCAGGCGCTTATGTCCCTGAGCTATATCTCCAGCTCTAGGAATATTGAAACAGTAAATATTCAATAAATATATAGTGAATTGAGTAGCAGATACTCAGTAATCCTCATTGAATGAGTGTATCTAAATGGAGGTAGCTGCTCATATGGTAGCTATATTACTTTTTCCATTAATTTTTTTTTTTTTTTTCGGAACCGGGGATTGAACTCAGGCCCTTGCGCTTGCCAGGGATGCGCTTATTCCACTGAGCCATCTCCCCAGCCCCTCTGTTAATTTTTTATAATACTTTGTACAAGTAACCAAAACACTCAGTTTCATCTGGAGTACACATCTCTGAGTCGCCCTGACTCATCTGCGGGGAAAGCCCAGGACACAGGGTGCAGGAGGTACCCAACTGTACGCTGCCAGCACGTCCTCTCAGCTTCCTCTCTGCCTCTCTTTTATGCTTTCCATTCAGTCACCTTCTTCCATAAGTCAGCAAACACGGCCCCTCACACTTCCAGGGTCTCTCAACTCACTGCATTCATTCAAAGAGCCTTGATCTCTTTGATCTTAGGCTTACAATCTTAGGGAAGGATATGATTGGCTTGGCCTGAGTCAGATGCAGGTGGAACCTCTAATAAAATGATAGCTTCCATCTTAACAGAGAAGAAAAAGAGCATTCTAAAGGAGACCCAGCTAAGGATGGCTGCACACACGGATATTCTCAGCAGGTGGGAGGCTGAGGCAGGAGGACCCCTGTGAGTAAGAGGCGAGCCTGGGCTCCACAGTGAGTTCAAGGCTGAACTACTTAGTGAGACCTTGTCTCAAAAACAAAAAAACCAAAGAAATAAAGAAGCCCAGGCCTGGACGCAGAGAGGATGGTTGCCTTTCTAGACAAAGCAAAGCAGTAGATATTCAAATTCAGAGGGTGCTTCCAGGTTCAAGGGCAGCGCAGAGAACCGAGCGCGGAAGGGGCCTGGGAGCCTGAGGTGGAGCGCTCAGAGGCAGGGCAGTGCGGCCTGCATTTCCTCCAGCTGGATGAGAACAGCCTGACTTTCCAAGGGACAGTGCCCTCCCTCTTGCCCCAGAGGGGCAACTCCACTTTCCCACATCCAGTGGTTATTTTTATGGAGAGATTTATTTTTACCCATTTTAGACCTCCACACTGCTTCTGGGAGAAACAAAGCACTGGGGGTGTAGGTTTCTGAAAAGCACAGCCTGCCATGGATGGCTGTGATCCCTCTGAGGTCACCTTGGGCAACCTCCCCAGCCCTCTCTCCTGTCTGCAGGGACTAGGCATAGGAGTGGAATGGGCAGGGGATTCTTCTGTCAGTCTACAGGCAAAGGAGAGCTCTGCACTGAGAGAAGCAAAGCCCCGTAGCCACCTCAGCCTGGGAGGCTGAGGCAGGAGGATCTTGAGGTAGGCTTCACTATCCTATTGAACTCATCCTGCTGTGCCTCCCAATCCCAGCCTGCCAGAAGTGGGACAGCCACCACAGCTTTTATCTACAGTGCAGACCATGTCCCTCTGGAGCCCAGGGGGCTTGAGAAGAAACTCTTGCCTCTCAGCTAATAGCCAGCTCCTAACAGGCATTATTTTCCAGTCTCAGACCAGGCAGCCAAAGCAGGCTTCTTTAATAGCATCACACATCTGGCTTAAACTGCTATTCCTCTAAGACAAGTTTATTGAACTGTTAGCCAATTCCTCTACACATAGCCCTGCAGACAAGTGTAAAATATACTTTATACATTTAAGGAGCCATTCAGAGGCCGGCTCTTCATGATAAAGATGCAACTGACACTCGTTGGGCACTGGAGTGTCAAGTTGTTGCCATCCAGCAGACAGCCTGACAAGCTGTTAAGTCTGAAGCTCTGTTCACCTGGCTCTTCTCCTTTCCTTTCCCATGTCTCCTGCAACAACTGGCTTGGGCTCCTGAAGCTGACATTTGGAGGATTTATCAAAATTTAACAGAGTGCTGTTTCCATCTCCTACTGAAATGCCTTGGGGAAGTAGGAGGGTTCAGGGGAACCAAGTGAGGTGACACGCACCTATAACCCCAGCACTCTAGGGAGGCTGAGGCAGGAGGATCACTGCACTTTTGAGGCCAGCCTGGGCTACATAGGGAGTTTAAGGCCAGCTGGAACTGCAAAGTAAAATGTCAAACAACAACAACCAAAACAAAAAAAAAACAGGAGGGACCAGAGGAATGGCAGGAGTAGGGAGCCAACGAGAACAAGTGTCACTTCTAGGTGCTTTGAGGGTGAGACCTCTGGCTCCACGAAGGAAAATGTGTGGGAAAAATTTGTGGGTGGTTTCCATACCGGGTGACTCTAAACTTTCCCCTCATCCCTGCAACCCGCCTTCAGCTGGGCTGAGCTAGGGACAGGCGGCAACAGCACAGGCCAGGACATGAGAGGGGCAGCTTATTTTGGATCCGATTCTGAAGCTTGCCGGTTCAGCCAATCTCCAACGCCAAAAGAGGAATTCTGAGTGCTGAGCACCGCCCAACTAGTCCAAAATTTCTTTACTCTTGTCTGTTTAACTTTCTCTAGGTCAGAAGTGGGATGTGGGTTAAATTACAGAGAACAGTAGGATAGAAAATGAAGAGGAAAGAAAGCCCCTAAATGACTGGAACTTGAGAAGGGCCCCAGGCTGTACTCAGAGCTAGGTCTCTCTCCATATACACAGGGCTTTGCATCTGGTTCTGGTAGGCAGCAAAGAGGACACATGTGGTAGGAGGGATTGAGATAAGCTTCATCGTCCTGTTACAAACAGTGGGAAGTGGTGGCTGTCACCTTCTTCACAACAGTTTACAACTATGACCTGTGAGATTACCTGAGCCTGCCTCCTGTAAGCGTAAACACAAGTGAGTGTGTTTGCTGAGGTAGGTGTGGGAATGTATCAGTGAAGCTCTCGTGTGCCCTGCTGATGGTGCGTGTTTGTACTTGAAAGCCATAAGGTTGTATGCAAAATCTATGGGTGGCACTGTTGCACAATGCTCTGGTGGGTGTGGAGGTGCGGGGGCATGATTAACAGTTTATAGGCTGTGTGCAAGTGTGCATACATGTCAGAGTGTGCACACATTAAAATGGACAGCTGTGCCACAGTGTGATACAGGGCAGAAAAGTACGTGGGCTCTGGAGTCAGTCTGACCTGGAATCCTCACGTGTAACCTTGGGTGAGCCACTGGATCCTGTTTCCTCAACTATGAAATGAGGGGCACAGGGCGAACGGTTCCGACTCTGAGAAGATTAGAAACGGTGCTGTGGATGCACAGGTTTTCTTGATAGCCCCTACCCCCCCACCCCCACCCCCCAGCAAGGAGACATTCCATCATCGTGGATGTGCTCTCGGGGTCCAGGGTCAGGAGGGCGCAAAACGTGCGTGACCTGCATGTGAAACGCAGGAGAGGAGGCTTAGGTGTGTGAACCGCCAAAGCATTCCAGGCTTCCAAAAGCCTCATACTGAGACGCGGTAGATGGGGTGCGCGGGGTGGCGCAGGGTCAACAGACACCTTGGGGTTTCTGGGTTCCGGTGTAATAGACCGAGAGGCCTGCAGGAGATGGAGATGCAGGAAGCGAAGAGTCTGCAAGCGCTTCCTTTATTTCCATACCAGCGCCAACGGTTGAAGACCGCCGCCCACATACCTCCCCACCTCCACCCGCGCCCCAGCACACACCCTTTCTCTACTTTCCTTTCAAATAATAGCAAGGGCGGGAGGAAACCCGAAACTGCAGCGGATTCCTCCCCTTCCTCTCGCCATTCCCCCTTAAGACACCAGGAAACAGCCGCAGCGGAGGAGCCGGGCCACCTTAACAGTAGAGTAATGATCTGGCCCGGTGCCAAGCCCCACCCCTGCGCCGCCTGGCTCCACCCCTTTCTCCTCCCGCACGGCTGGGGAGAGCAGGGGAGCCCCAGTCTGGCCAGAGTTGGCTGGAGCTGTTGCCATGACAAGCATTTTCTTAAGAAAGCTCTGCCACTGAGAGCTTCTAGGGCTGGGGGTGGGGAGGGGGCGCGAACTTCCCGGGGAGCCATCCCTCCGGAGAGAGCGAGCGGCATCCGGGCCTGGCCCAGCTCCCCGCTCCCGTCTCGGTCCGGGCAGGTCCTGCTCATTGAAAGAGCCGCGAGGAGACGCGGCCCACGCCCCGCGGCGGCGGCACCGTGAGCGCGCCCGCCCGCAGCTCCAGCCCGGGGGCCGCTCAGGGAGGCGGGGTGCTCGTCCCACCGCCCAGTCCATGGGGACCCCGAGGGACCGTCCCGCCCGCGGAGACCCCGAGCTCTGCTAGAAGCACAGGTAGGCTTGCGGGGAGCGAGCCGAAGCGCGAGATGCAAACTTTGTTTCTCTTTCCTCTCATTGCTTTCTAAAACTCTACGAATTGCCCCTTCCTGGCGAATCCTTGGTGGCTGGGTTTGAAGGACCTTGTGTGTGTTTGTGTGTGCGTAGCTGTGTCGTAGGCTACCTTTCTTTCCCATCTTTAGTCCTGAAGAGCCGCGTAATCAAACAAGTGCTATTCTTTTCTTTTCCTGGTTCTTGTCATTCCTGGGCGGAAGGTTGGTGCAGGGAAATTGGGGGGACTGTCCTTTTCACACCCAGATTGAGCTATTGGAAAAAGCATTTATTTCCCTCCCATCCGTTCCCGCCCTCCCCCTAGGCTTGGGAAAGAGACGCAGAATGGAAAACTGTTGCAAAAATATTTTCCGCGTCTGTTCCCTTTCTCGAAAGCCGGAGGAGAGACAAGAGGGGCGGAGGGGGGGTGTTCAATCCTGGACTGGAAGGAGGGCTGCCGGGCCTGGGGAGATGGGTAGGGGTCGCCTGGGAGCCGTTCGGGGTGGGGACACGAGGCACAAATTAAATTTCTCCGGCTTTGCAGAGAAACCTCAGCAGTTTCCCTCTGCCGCTTGCAAAACATCTTCAGACTTTCACGTCTATAATTAGCTGTGGAAAAAGCTGGGAGTTCCCTCGCACTGCTGTTGTCTGAGCGTGTGTAAGCGGCCAGAACCAACTGTACGAGTGTCTTCGAGGGCACCGCCCCAGCCTCTCTGCTCCCCAAGGGGAGGCAGAGGAAGGGGCAAAGTTGAAAAGTTTTCAGGTTTAAGGCTGGAGATTGTAGGGCCCAGGCCGGGGGGTTCAAACATCCTTGAGAGAGCGTCCCTGAGGGGCTTGTTGAAGGGACGGAAATTGAGGCAGGGATTGTCCTCCTGCCTCCCGCGCGCCCTCCCTGGCGCCCTGTCACCCCTGGCGCGCTCTTAGAGGCGGAGGCCGGCTGGCATCCTTCCGCGAGGCGAGCCCAGCCTCCCGCCCTCCCATCTCGCTGAGGTTGCCCGCCACTCTTTTCCAGCCGGGGTCTTGGGGCGCTGGAGAGGCCGGCCGCTTCCTGGGAGAGGAGTGGGAGGTGCCTCCCTCCGAGGCGTTCCTGCCGGACTTACTGTAACTTGCAGATGTGATGCGGGCGCCTACTGGCCTGCGGGGGTGGGGGTGGGGGATGTCAGATGAAGAAATCGGCGGGCACTCTGCTGCCGCTCTTGCTGCTGCTGCTGCTGCTGCTGCTGGGAAGGGACCGGAGGATGGGGAGGGAGGGAGGGAGAACAAAATCTTTTTCTATCGCGCCACCTCCTGCTCCTCTTCGTAGACCTCCTCCTCCCTGTCGTCCTCCTCCTCCTCTTCATCCTTCTCCTCCTCCCCTTCCCTCAGTGTTCCCTCAGGTTGGGGTTCCTGGCTGGAGTCTTCAGAGCCTTCCCTCCATCCCTGAGCCCCCACCTCACTCCCGGGTACCTCTGCTCCTGGTTTCCCCTATTTGGAGGCCCATCCTGCAGCCCCCTGGGCCACAGATCCTTCTAACTTGGAAGGGAAGAGACCAGGTATTCCTGGCTGGGACAGGCCATGGGGTCAGGGTCAGGTGAGGATGGATTGGAGGGGGAGGGGGGTAGGAGAGGCAACACTTGGGTTGGGTGGCTGGTGATCTGGGTTTCCCACTGTGCTTGGGGTGGTGGCAGCTTGGAAAAGGTGACCAGGGAGGTGGGTCCCAGACCTGGAGCAGACAGATCTGTAGGAGTGAGGCTGGGAAAGAGAAAAAACTGCCTGTAGTCCAGCTGGTTTGCTTCGAGGAAGGGGAAAGGCTTGGCTGAGAACCTGCGGAAGAGCTCAGACTTGGGGAGAGCTTGAAAAGGACCCAGCGAAGCAACAGGAACCAGTTTTCATCTTGAAGTACTTTGTGACTGGCAGGGCTGCACTTGCAGACCAGACAGCTCTCCCCTACCTGTATTCTGATCAGGAAGGAAATGTGACCTTCTCTAAGTGGGCAAGGTCTGAAAGGATCAGTGCCCTTGTTCTGTGGGGAGGGAAAAATGCTTTTGTTGGCTCCTCCTAGGGAGCCCCAGTCCCCCTCACCACCATCTCAAAGAGAGGTAACACCCTGAGATCACACAGCTCCACCCTTCACACTGCCCCCTTCCTGGGCACACACAATCCTACCATTCCTGCAGCCATCCTTCACTTGTCCAGCACCCTGACTAGGGGTAGATTCTGAGCCACTCTTCAAAGCCAAGGGAAGAAAAGCACCTGCTCCATGACCTGGAGCCCTGGGTCTTGGGCTGCCGGGAGAATCTGCTCCCCAAGGCTCCAGCCCTGTGAGGCAGGATGGCAGTTGCTGCACATGGGAGGCCTCTTCTGCTCCAACAGAGCGGGCCCCACCCATTGTCAGCCTCTTGCCCTGCTCTGCTCCACCCTTTTGCCCTGCCTTAGTCTGAGTACTCAGTAGAGAAAGCACTTAGTGCTGAGAAATCCAGGCTTCTTGCCTCTGGCCCTGCCGAGCCTCACTCCTCTCCCGCTGTCTGTCCCTCCTCTGTGTCCCTGGATCAAGGTCAGGCTGAAGGAGCATAGGACTCCCAGCACCCAGCACGGAGGCATTAGAGCCACTTGGTCAGAGCATACTGTAGAGGAAGGGGCACTGTAGAAGGAACAGAAGAGTTATCAGCCTGGTTGAGGGGGACAGGAGGGGTTCTTAGCTCATCTCCTGGTCTCCAGTTGACCTCTGTGCAGTGGGAAGCCTACTCCTCAGATACTGCTGGATCAAGGGGCTGAGTCACATTTGTCAGATCACTGCAGTTTCTGATGTCAGATGAAAGTCACAATGAGAGCACCCAGGTGGGGGACAGAAGTAGTGCAGTTAGCATGTGCCCCAAGTGTGGGTGCTGGAAGAAGGGAGGTGGGGTGTGGGAGACTGGGCTGTGGGGCAAGGCTATTGGGAAGCCTCACTGTCTAGAAGGTCCTGAGAAAAAGGGAATGGAGTGCTCAGTGCAGCAGCTTGTGCCCCAGCTGTCACCTGTTAGCAACTCAGGCCTCCCCTCTCCCCAAAACTATCCAATGAGCTGCTACTTGCAGTGACCCTCACGGACCTCTTTTCTCTTAGTGCTCTTGACCTTGGACCCAGCCACCCAATGGAGGGTCAACCCTGCCCATCTCAGGTAGAACATTCCAGACCCACCTAGCTTTGCAGGGAGATTGGGAATGTTTTGTTTCTCGATCCCCTGGAAAGAACCTTTGACCTTGCGGGGAAATCCCACTGCCTCTGTTCTTCCAGGCTGCCTCTCATGGGGGCACTTTGGCTCCCAGGGGCTCCCCACCAGCTCCTACTGCCCAGGGCTTTGCTTGCAGGGCTCCCTCTAACTAGAGAGACAGCTTTTCTCCTGTCAGTTTCTCATTTCTTTTTCTTTCTTTTTTTTTTTTTAATGTATTTGTTACAGGGTCTCACTACACAGTTTGGGCTCACAGTGACCCTCCTGTTTTCAGTGTCCCCAGTGCTGGGATTACAGGTGTGCATCAACCCCCCCATTTCTTTTTCAATACATATTTTATAAGCTATATTTTAAACTTTTATGTTTTTTAAATGTCCACACGGGTGCATGTGTGTTTTGATGTATGTATAGGCTGTGCAATATTCAAGCCAGGATAAATGTATCTGTCTTCTCAAATGTGTCATTTCTTTGAGGTGAAAACACTTAGACTCCTTTCTAGCTTTTTTGAAATATTTAGCGCATTGCCCATAGCAGCCCTACTGTCCCACCGCACACCCGAACTTATTTCTCTTGTCTAATCATAAAGCAGTAAACCCCCCCCCCAAAAAAAAAGCAGTAACCCTCCATCAATCTCTATCTCTGCTCAGCCCTTCCACTCTCACCAGCCTCTCGCCAGTAACCACTATTCTGCTCTCAACATCTATGATTAACTTTTTCAGATTACATGTAGGGGTAAGGTCCTGTGGTACTTGTCTTTCTGTGCCTGGTTATCATAATTAGCATAATGACCTCTGGTTCTTTCCCTGTATCCCAAGGGACAAGATTCCTTTTCTTTCTTTCTTTCTTTTTTTTTTTTTTTTTTTGGTGGAACCGGGGGTTGAACTCAGATCCTTGCGTTTGCCAGTCAAGCGCTTATCCTACTGAGCCATCTCCCCGGCCCAAGATTCCTTTTCTTATGGCTGGTTAGTATTCTGGCATGTCTGTATACTGCGTTGTCTTGATGCATTCACCAATTGGTGGACACTTAGGCGGTTTCTGTTCTCTTGGCTGTTGTGAATAGTGCTGCAGCACATGTGGGAGCACTGACACATGCTGATTTTATTTCCTTTGAATATATACCCAGCAGTAGGATTGGTGGATCATGGTATTCCTGTTCCTAAGTGTGTGTACATGCATGCGTGTGTGTGTGTGTTGCTGGAGGTGGGACTGAAGGCCTCATACATGACCAAGCAAACACTACCACTGAGTGACACCTCCAGCCCTTTTTCCATTTTTGTGAGGCACCTCCGTACAGTTTTCCAGGATGACTGTCATTTCCCTTTTCTGTAGGTCTCCAGAGTCCAGCAGGCCCTGGGGCTGGAGTCCAAAGGGGCACCGCGGAATGTCCTGTGCTCTGCTTCCTTTGCCTGCATCTCTTTGTCTCCTCTTTCCTCTTCACTTGTGTGAACTGGTCTTGCTGCACTGATTTATTTCCTCTACAGATTTTGACACAGAAACATCTGTTTCTGCCTCCACTCTTAAGTCCATCCTGCGTTCAGCCCACCTGAACCTGGGGCAGTGGAGGGAAACCAGGCAGGAACTAGTTACAGCTGGGCCAGCGGCTCCTGGCAGGGAGGAGCGTAGAGATCTGGGCTATGTGAGCCGGGCTGGAGAGTGGAGGGGATGAAGGATGGAACCTGGCTTTGGAGTTTGGGTTTCCCTCCTCTTCTGCCTCTGCCTCTTGTGGCTCCAGCTCCTCTGGCTTTCAGCCCCACCTTCTCTGGTTTGGCTTCCCACGTT